TTGCGAACTCCTTGGCAAAGCGGAACTTAATTGTTGCTTGACTAGATCGGTGCAACACCTGCATTCATTCATATATATAGATGCATTAATCGTAAATATGTATATAAGTACACCGTCCAAACCGAAACATTGAATCGCAGACCTACCTGGAGGAAAAGTTGATTCGTCAGGAATGCACCGGTAAAATTAAGAGAATCGCCGAGGATCCAAAAGAATAGGAGGAAAGGGGAGACAGCTTGGTCGGGAATTTTCTTCATGCAATTAGTTACGATTTGAGGAATTCCGAATATGAACCAACAGACAATACTCAAGACGCCGAAGGCGATAGAGACCTTGTCGCGAGCATTTACAACACACTCCCCCAAGCTTTCCCAAGCCCAGTCGAGTCCACCAGGGCATTCTGCTTCAAGTGAGCCCGGAACAGGTGTGGATTTCATTGTGGATGCCATCGTCGTTTAAAGTTGAGTAACTTTAAGTGTTTCCTCACGGTTCCTTTTGAAGTTTGAGAGGATTTGCTTGAAATGCTAAAATTTATTCTTTATCCTTGTTTGTTTGAAGTAGAGCGACCTTGTGATCCTCCAATAAGCCAATCCATTTGTTTTGTCACTGCAGCATACAACGCGGTAGTTTAAACATCGCCTGACCTGATTGGTCGCTTCGATGTATCACGATCTGCTCTTTTGACGTTGGATTCCATTTCAAGGCGATTAAGATTTTTTATGATAATTTCTACTTCAAATTATCGTGTCGTCATCCTACTCGCAATTCACAAGGTAATCTCATTATACATTGTTGAAATTTATATCAATCTGTTAAACCATTCTTCTTTTCAGTTGATTCCTTTCATCAAGTAACCATATGGTTAGTACGTTTATCACTTCAGCTTGCAGTTTTTGACATGGTGACATTTGTCCTACTTTTAACAGAGACGTTCCGTCCCAAACATATTTTCAACACAGTTTTACGCTGATATAATGTACGACAATAAGCTAGATTGACTTTCATAATACCATTATTTATGCAGAGATAGGACCATGGAGCTGTGTATAAAAGAGTTTTCACAAGTAGCACACCGTGGATTGGTGGTTGACAAGTAAATCTTTGAGAGGTTTTCGAATGATATTTTCTGGTTAATTTGCTTTGATATGGTAGGGGTTATATTTCATTTGCTAGGAAATTGAAAACAGCGTAGCGCGTGGGAGCAGAATGCATCTGTGGGTAGAAACGCAGTTTCCTTTATCAAATAGCCACTGACAACGAGAAATTGAGCCTGGCCCCACAAATGGTCACGTTATATCGTACGGCTCCGAATTGGTACAGCATGCCGACATTTGCGGAAGATTGATACTTATTCGCTAATCGGCACTGAGTAAGGTTGTAATACTGATTATCGTGTAGCCTATGTTCACGTCATTTCGGTCTTGATAGGATGCCAGCTTTTTAACGAATGTCTTTCTGACCTCTACCAAAAATTATGTTCTGTAAAAAATGGCTACTTATGTAGCATATATTTTTCTCATGGCTTCTAACTGCCTTTATAAATTCAAAGGTATTTTATAGAAGATAGGTACTTTTTGGTAGAAAATTGTCCCATTCTTTAAATGTGCACTTAAAGGAAGGGTATCTTTCGATTTTAAAGAAGTTTCTAAATGGTCGAATAAGTTTGAAGCCTACCTACTGCTACACTGAAATTAAAGGTTTACAAACTGCGTGTTGTGTACATCCAGTTTAGGGAAAGCACTTTTTGGCCTACGGTTTGTGAAATAACTCCCATAGTTCTCATAAAATGTTGCAATAGATGTGGATCATGCTATGTACCTTATAGGTAGCATTAACAATTTGACGGATAGGATGTATTAAGAATGAACCCCTCACATTCGTTAAAATCACAAAATTATAAATTTTGCTAAAACCGAAGATATTATTTCTTTAAGTATGAAATTTAAAGAAGGCGTAATTTTCTATCAAACGAATACAGGAAAGAAGTTTTTCGCGCATATCTTCTATAAAATATATTTGAACTTAAAAAGGCAGTTTGAATCCATGATGAAAATGCGTACTACATAAGTAGCCATTCATATTCTGCGGGTTACTGCTTGGGGATAAGAAGCAGACGACTAGAGAATGAGAAGTTAAATGAGTGCAAAATTTGAAAAAAAAAACATTTGTTTTCACTTGACCTTGAACTTTTGCATTTGCATGCGATGTATCTCCTCTGAAGGTACTTTATTCCCTGGCCTATTTTCACAATGAAGACTCTTGGAAATACATAGATCAAACTGTATACTTTATTAGAAAAAAGCTGCAGGATAATACCTGCGAAATCCTCAAAAGCCGTGTTGAATTTAAAAATGTAAAGTCTACCAATAATTCATTGTTTTAATCAGCGTATTTGTGGATTATTCGGTTTTCCGTAAAATGGTATGTAAAGATTATTTTCGTGATTATTTTCGTAAAATATAGTTTACGACCTCTTCGGCTGATTTAGAAAATGTCTTTCATTTTAAAACTTTTGTAGCTGTTGAGAGTTCTTTATGCAAGCAGTAAATATTTGGACTCCGTTATCTCCTTTACAGTAATATAGGTAGTTAATTTTGCGATTATTACTTTTATGAAATGCAATTTATTTTATCAATGATCACAAGCTAAAATATTGAACTTTGACTGTAGTTGGCTATATTTTAAGTACAGCGTCTAAAAGTGTTCATGTTATGACTACCTGGCATGACCACCGTTTTCCTCTCTCACCCTCAGTTATGCCTGACCCAAGGCGAACGTAGGATAACCCGAGAGTTAAATTCTAGTACCACTTCTATAAAGTCAAATGCCTAAATATTGCGCTTTGATCCAAAATATGTCGCCTACCCTCTTGGATTTGCACAAAC